TACAATGGCAGCTCTAGGACAAAGTATGCAGGAGGAGAAGCATGGCAAAGTGGAGATGACTTGGATGGGAAACGAATCACAATAGTGTGCATTGCATTGGCAATGCACACTGATTAGTTCACAATCTAGTAAACATAAAGTTCTTTATTTGAACCAGAATTGTGGACATTTAAGTTACTGAAAAGTATTTAAAGTGATTCTATAAAATTCTAAGTGCAAATGTTTAAGAGCTGAACATTTTATAAACATATTAAACATTTCATGGTTAATTATTTTTAGACACCTGTCCCTCAGATGGACAACTATGGATCTTTGGCCTTGGATAAACCAGAATGATGAACAGAGAATATTGATTAATAACGGAAATATTACTGATATTTATTAAAAGGTTGCGCAGATTGTTTTTTAAATAATAACACATAAAAGTCTGCAATTTCATCATTAGTTGAATCTTATAATATTATTTCACTTAAATATCTAATATAACTAGTTTTATCCTCCTGAGACCCAGAAGAACCTATTTCAGATACTTGGAATGTAAGTGTGGTGAAACCGATTAAGTGTAAAACTGGCCTGCCATACACGTGAGCTTCCTCGTCCTGCTGAAATGATCTGCAGCGCTCAGACCCCGACTGGTTAATTAACAAGAAGGACTTAAGAGTGAGTAACCGTCCACATCTTGTTTTCATCTCCACGGTTAAGAAGAAAAAAATGTTTTTCTGACTCCGATCTGGGTAAAAAAATAAAATAAAACCTACGGTTGTTTCGCTATGAGTGCGTGCATGTGTGTGTACAGGTTTTGCTTCATGGTGGGGACAATTATTGACCATTTCCCCGGTACACCCAGCCAGGTGAGGTTAGGGTTTGGGTCAGGTGTGTAGTCTACCTTGGAGGTCATGGTTGGCTGTAGAACTGATGTGAAATGAATGGAAGCCACAAAGTCCCCACGAGGATAGAACAACAAACGTGTGTGTGCAGGAGGTGTGTRGCGGAGCCGCGAGCAGAGCTCAGTGTTATTAGGAGAGATGAGACTGTCGGTGGGCGACCACTGCTGGATTATTTTTTATGGAACATGGAAACTTTTTTCCTGCGGGTGACCCCTCCCCCTCCCACTCGAACGATTGGCCGCACCAGTGCGACCGGACATTTTTTAGTCACAATATTAGGAAATCAGGTCGCATTTACGACCAAATTAGTTGCACTCTAGAGCCCTGACATGCCATTTTTGAACAATGCAATAATTTAGTTTTTCTCTTTAACGTTTCTTTTCATTTTGTTGATAATTCAATAGGTGATAAAGTCACTGTAGGCCTTACATGATTCGCTGTAATAAATGTTTTTTCTTCTGATCTATTCAATAAAAATGACTGTTTATCAGCCTTGTCTAATCATTGACAGGATTCATTTATTCATCTGTGGCACAAATTCCAGTAGGTAATCTGTCATTCTTGTTATAGTTGTCATGTTTTAGGTTGTAGATTAGATTAGAGGTGAAGCTATAACATCATAGTTTTCACAGAGGCTTGTTATGACTGTCTGCAAAAAAATGCAATGACTGCTTTTAAAGATTTTCTATAAAAAAAAAAACAGCATTTAAGAGCTTTTGAAATGCTGTATCTGCAAGGCCGAAACAATAAAACTATTTTAAACATTTACAAAAGAGATAAATAAATTTCTGTGTGGGCCTAAGACAAAAAAGGTTTCCCTAGCAGAGGACAGTTGCTTAAACTTGGATGATACTTCAGTAAGATGTGAGACAGGGGTTGGAGATTTGCGTAATTTTGAACGTCATTTTCCTGAGTGAGTATAAACGAGCTGAAGATGCAGCAGAATATTAATTATCATAGATCCTCCCTCTGCCCTCCCACACCTCATATAAATACAAAAGCAGCGATAAAGATGGCTGGATATTGTGTTTTATAAATTTTAATCCCTCAGTGATCAGTGTTGTGTTGGGTGAAGAACAGTCTGCGGTGGAAATATTAAAAAAAATTAACACTGGTGATGGAAAAAAAGACGTGACAATCTGAAAATCAGCTGCTTCTCTAGCTTTTAACTGGCTTCAGACAAACAATCCTTTCAAACAAAATAAGCTGCAGAAGGCTGGAGAGCTGCGGTGTTCCTCATGAACACACACACACACCAAGAAGTTTAAACCAGTCACACAATCCGAGCCGTAAGGTCCACATCTGACAGTTCTGACTGGGGGCAATCCTGTCACCGGGGGATAGCAGAGGGAGAGCAGATGGAAGTTGTGCAATTTTTTGTCACTCAGCAGAGGGAAACGTGCAACTCAAAGTATAAACCAAGCTTTTTCTTTGTCTCTACTTTCTCAGTTGTACATGTGTTGCTACAGGCAGCTGCATGCGTAACGGCTGTTTGATTTTTTTTTTTTTCACTGTTCAGCTGAAACTCTATCTAATACCAAACTTTAAAGGCAGTAAATATGAGTGACTGTAAACGCAAAAACATTTTTTATTTTTTTGAAATGGCCACCCAGATATTGTCCAGTTAGAATCTTGTATTGACAAGTAGGGCTGCCACGATTAATCGATTAATCGACGACTAATCGATTATTAAAATAATCGATGACTAATTTAATAATCGATTAATCGTTTTTTCTTTTGTTCTTTACTTTGTTTTTCTCTTCAAACTGCTTTGACACCTTCYACTGCCACATCTGCCTTTCTGTCCTTGACACACATGCACAGTAGTGATAGCCGTGGACGTCACAAGACATTATACAGACAGGCTCTGGTATCATGGCTACCTGACAACAGAGCTCAAAGTGTGGGATCATTTTAAGAAAATGAAAGAGAAACCTGTGTAATATCTGCAGAGCAGAACTTACCTTCCACAGCTATTATTTTTAGTTAGCATATAGCTAAAACCTAACCATGGTTATATAATAGCAGCTGCTGATTAGTCGACTAATCGAATAAAGAATCGGTGATTAATCGATTATTAAAATAATCGTTTGTGGCAGCCCTAGTCATTGACAAGCTTTTGGATCAACTCCCTCATGAGATTTTCACCTAGAATATTTGAAGAGGAGAAGACATCCCTTCAGGATGTGCCATGGACAGCTTGTGCTCAGATACACCAGCTAAGGTTGTGTACGCAAAAAAATCAGGATCAATTAAATATTAAGAAAGTTGTCAGAATGTTAGAACTCATCTTATTCTTAATTTACTTTTTAAGCTCCTTTTAATAAAACTCAAAGTTTAAAAAAGGTATTTAAAGAATCCAATTAAAAGAATTGTTACCATTGTTGGTGACAGTGTTGCAACTTACCCCTTTGCCCATTAATCCATTGTTGAATGGCAGGCCTATAAACTGGAATGCAGCCTCTTGGATAAAATAAGGATTGAGGATTCTCAGCTCTGTCGGATCCCGAGGCACATGGTGGGCTACAGACTTCCAGAAACCATCCAAGCCCCTCTTMAAAGTTGAAGAAGAAACAAAGACAGAAGATTGCACGTCAGTCATCTTCAACATCAGAGGTAGACTATATATTTTGTCTTTGCAAGAAGCAATAGAAAACTGACACATGACACCTCCACTGGGAATAGTTCAGTCAGTTAATCTAGCAACCAATGAAAGTATGATTATCTTTTTCTAACAATGACATAAAACATGGGCACAAACCATGAGCCAGACCACCTCTACCATTCATTAAGGAAATGCCTTTTTGGCCTTTAATGGATAAAATAAGGTTTCTAACAGGGCATCAGTAATCATGACCGCAGCTGCTCTGCAGCCATGCAGAAACCATCTTCACAGTTTGACTGATGTAGGAAAGATTTTATTATCTGAAACAGATACATGATACATGTTTCAACGTAGTCAAAGTATTCCCAACAAAATAAGTAATTTTATTAACAAATGCCATTTTTGTGTAACACAGATTTCACAACCAACTAAAACAATGATCTACAATGAGATTTTCTTATAAAATGTTTGCATTGACTTTGATTTCCATTATTTTAATTCAGYCAGTTTATTTGTACAGCATCAACACACACAATAAAATTAATGTTTAGGACTTAAATTTTACGTGACGTTTATTCAACCAAAAATTTTTACATGAACTAGGCACAGGTATAATAAATGTGCATACAGTCAAACAGCTAAATACATCAAAGCATTTTACAAAAATGTCAATTTCAGTTAATCCTTCATCAAATGAAGTTTCTTTATGTTAGAAGATGTGCAGATTTGAAATCACACAAGTTCAAACTGTACCTCTAGCTAACATCTGCACTGAAGTAAGGAGTTGGAAAGGAAGTGGTTAAAACCCCTCCCTGACCTCAGGGTGTTCTGAAAGGCCCCAGGTCTTTTTACACAGGGCAATCATCATCAATCGCTAGGACAACCTGTCAGACGGGCCAGCGACACCGCCTGAATCAGGTCATGTCGTGCTAGTGAAACACTTGTTTAACTCAGCTCTACAACAACACCCACTGGATGTCACGGAAATGAGACACTCACAGAAAGAAAAATGATTACAAAGTGTGATTCAATAACCAATTTCAACCTCCTAAACTATAGAGACAAGATTACACTTTGGCTTCATTCCAATTCCCTCTCTTGGCTCTACAACTTAGATAACTTACACTTTCACTGTTTGGTAAACTG